GGGTCTGGGAGAGGGGCGTGGCCAGGGTCCGCAGACCCTCTGACCGAAGCTGCACCTCGCGGTTGCCCAGCGCCGGCTGAGCCAGGTAGCGCTGGCGCTTTACCTCGGTCACCAGAACGGCTGGCACGTCTGGCACGAGCCAGGCGAGGAGGCGCAGGAGAATACCACGTGCTGGGGAGGAGCGGGGGCCAAGGAGAGAATGACTCCCGAGCAACCTTAATTCACGAGGCTTACTGAGTGCAAGACACTGCTGAGGGTTTTCCGGGTGTTGGTTCATTTAATCCTCACAACAACTCTGGGAGGCAAACACAACTACTACTCCCGTTTTACAAATGAAGGAACCGAAACGTAAGCAAGTTGTCATTTGTCCGAAGGCAGAGATATCATTAGAGCCCTTAACACAGGACCCTGTGAGAGGCAGGGCAAGGCTGAGGGACATGCTCCCGCTTCCTCCAGGTCTGTTGCCGAGAGATAATGGTGGTGGTGGTGATACTGACTCACTGAGCACGTACGATGTGCAAGCGCTTGACACAGAATCTTCGTACCGATCCGACGAAATAGATCCTATTCTGTAATATTTCCCCGTGTGCAGCCCGTCGGCGGCAGAGCCTGAACTTGAACCCAGGTCTGTCGGACGCTGAGCCTACCTCGAAGGTGTTGATGGAGCCCAGCGCACAGCCAGCAGCTTCCGGTAGAAGAGAGTGAGGCTCCCTCCCCCGAGTGGAGGACCTGTACCTGGGTTGCGGAGGACGCGGGGTGCTGCCAGGCTCTGGATTCCACTCCGGGCTCCCCCGCCCCTGCCCTAGAGGCCTGGCGCTGAGCCTCCAGCTCGGCCCACTCATCCGTTCCCCAGACTCCGCTTTCTGCCCTCTCAGCTAGGCCAGCAGCATGACACCCTCTTCCTGGACCAGAAATACCCCGTTGGCTTCTCATGGGTTGAGCCTTAGATATGGGCCATGGTCCCACAGGCCCTTGGGAACGCCACCTACTGGGTGGCGTGGTTGCCCTTGGCAAGGTAGGCTGGAGGTGCGGTCGCCAGGCTGTGCTGTTCCTACCGGTACAGGAGACCTGGCAGTCCCAGGTGAAGGCGCTGGGGAGAGCTTGCAGGACTGGAAGGTCTTCAGGGCCCAGTTTCACTCCCTCCTGGCACTCCCACAGGCAGGATGAGCCTAAGCCTCAGGGTCCTAGCTCTCTGCCTCTATTTCCCAATCTCTGCCCGGATTTCCAGCTCCAGCCTCCATTTCCCTCCTCCTGAGCCTCCCTCCCAGTCTCCGGTCTCCATTGCTCCTGAGCCTGTATTCCACTCCTTTGCCCCACACTCGCACTGACCGCGACCGAAGCAGGAGCAGCCACATCCCAGAGCCCTGTGCCTGCTCAGCCACTGGCGGCCGGAACTCACACACGAACTTGTGGGTGTCCAGTGGGATCTCCACCCAATGCTGAGCAGGGCAAACAGGGGTGCCAGTGGGAAGGCCATCACAAGGGTGGCGATGAAACTGAACTGCAGCCAGGGAGGGGGAATGTGTCCCACAAACCTGTAGATCACTGCACCTGTGGGCCATGTGCCCTCCTGCTCTGGCGCCAGGTCACAGCTAAACTCCATGCGGAGGCCTGCCCTCTCCCCACTATGTTCCTGATCCTCTGGCCTCCTGCTCACTGGGAGCTAATGCTGGTGACAGGGCTGCTGGGGGGACTTGCCTCCTCCCCACTAACTCCAGAGGGCCACTAGTTCCCAAGGGCCTGTTGGACCATGGCCCACATCTACTGCTAAACCCCTGAGAAGCCAATGGCCCAGGAAGCGGGTGTCCTGCTGCAGGGGACAAGTTCTCTGGATGATTCTCCTTTCCATTCCCACCAAATGACAAGGGCAATTTACACAGTAACACCACCTCCTGCGAGCCCAGCCCTTCAGGACTCCTAACCAGTCCTTGTTAAAAACTGGAAGCTCCCGAGGGAATGAAAAGCTCTGGCTTACTTTTGGGTCCCCTGCATCCAGTCCAGGGTGCTCAGTGCAAGGCCAGGACAGAGATGGCAATGACCCCAACCTGCAGCACTAGGAGGTGGGGGGCGGGGGGCGGGGGTCAGGTCTGGGCCGCCCAGGGAGGAGTGAGTAAATGAATGCAGGTGTTAGAATTTCACATCTGCTCCAGGAAGAGTTCGTGTGTTCCAGTTGAGAAAACTGAAGCCCAGGGAAATCAAGGACCAGCTTCAAGGTCAACAAGACGCTGATAGAGAAAAGTCTGGAGGCTCAAGGATGCTGTGCTCTGCTGGATCACCTCCGTGGGAGGCAACAGCTTCAGAGGGGAGGGGCTCCTCGCTGCCTCTGAAGAATGTCACATAGAAGGGAGAGGAACAGAAATGGATAAACTGGAAGATGAAGACTTTGAAAGTGAAGGCATCTCCATGGAGGGGCTGGATTCTGTACATCTTCTGGGCAAAGGGCAGAGCTGGCCACAGTTCTATTGGGTGCAAGGGGGCTGGCACAACCCATCAAGTCATCTCATATGCTCTGTCCCCTACTCACCTCAGCCTGGTACCAACCATGTGCCCCTGGCCAGCCCAGAGATAACCGGCTGGTGACACCAATGCAGGAGCTGCCAGCTCTGAGTTCCCAACTGATGCCAGGACACCACCGCGACCCCCTGCCCTCACTCACCCCTCCTGGTGAGCTGCTCAGCCAGTGAGGTGCAGACCTGGCCCAAGAGGAGGGTCAGTAGCAGTGCTGCAGGTGTTGGCAATGTTGCCAGCCTAGGCAGAGGGACAGCCATCAGCTGGGGCCCAGCCATGTGATGGAAGGAACCTAGGGATCCCCACATTGGGCCTGGCCCCAGCCCCATTTCCTCCCTGCTCCGTTCTTTCTCAGGGAGATGGCGAAGGAAAATTGTTGACCCTTGATTTGGGTGAAGGTGGGTGATGAGAGATTCTCTGAGTGGAGCAGTGCTAACCAGGAGGCTGGCCTTCCCTGTCCTGTTGTGGGGAGGACCTGGGTTACTCTCCCCTTCTGGCCCTTAGCAGAGCTGGTACCCAAGAAGGATCCAGAAGCTTCCTTCCTGGGGGAGTTTTAAGCCCAGAGATAACTGGTGGGATATGAGGTAACTGGCGCTCACAACATAGGTACCTGTAGCTGGAGGCTCATATTCAAGCCCAGAGGACACCTTCACCGGGTCCCACAGTTTGCTGCTGCCCTGGTGGGGTAAGGTCAATGGGAGCTAAGACCAGAGGGGACCAGGCTGAAGGCCGGCTGCTTGGGAGCCAAGCTGGAGGCCACCGTGGGAAGGTCTATGGCCTACAGGCTGTGCCACCGTGAGTCTTGGGGTCCTCCCCGGGGACATTCCTTCTCTAGGGTATGAGATAAGCTCAGGCCTCAGCTGTGAACCAGAGTTGGTGGTAAGAAGATGCTGGTCAGTCCTTTAGGTCCTGGGAGGGTTGGCAAGCCTATGGGCAGTGACCAAGGTAGACAGATGTGGCAAGTGCTAGGCAGGCAGTGTGCTCAGGAGTGTGAGCAGGGGGTATGCATGAGCCTCCTGTGTGTGCCAGGAGGGGCGGGCATTGCAGGAGTGCTGGGTGTGTACTCATGATCACGTGTGAGTGTGGGTGTGCAAAGCTGTCAGTGCTGACTTCTGAAGAGGGTCTCCAAGGGCAGCTGGATTTGGGGGTCACTATACTTAAACCTCCAGGGCCCTCACAGCTGGGTTAGACTCGGGCCAGGCCTCAGCCCAGGGGTCAAGCTATGGAGACAGTGGGGTATCATAAGGGACTTTCAGAAAGCTTAAAGGTCCTTGGTCAGCACCCTCCACGCCTCCACCCTCACTCTAGCCTGCATTCACCAGTGTCAAGTGAGACACAAAAGTGAGCGTGTTCAGCCCTGGCATCGTCCTGGGTACAGAAAGGTTGCTGGTTCAATTCCCAGAAGGGCACATGCCCAGGTTGTGGGCTCAATCCCCGGTAGGGAGTGTGCAGGAGGCAGCCAATCAATTTTTCGCTTTCACATGGATATTTCTCTCTCTCTCCCCCTCTCCCTCTCTCTCTAAAAAAATCAATCAAAATAAAAATATATTTTTTAAAAGAGACAAGTACTTTTTAAAAAAATGAGCAAGTTCATTCATCTTCCTGCTTCTGTCCTTGCTGGCTTCCCACAGGGCAGAGCTGCCCACAGGCCAACTCACTCCCTGACCCCCACCTGGTCCGTGATGCTTTCTGATTTCCCCAGACTGGCAGGGCCCCTGTCCTAAGCCTCGCCTGACAGTTTCACGATCAAGAAAGGCACTGCAGAGTGGGGGGCTCACCTCCTGGACACACAGGAGGACATTTTTTCCCCAACCTCCCCTACAACTCCATGTGAGCATGTGACTAGGGGTTGTACAAAGAAATGTGGACAGAAATGAGGCACACCGCCCCAGGGCAGGTCCACAGAAACCTCCTGGGTGACTTCTCACTTGCACTCATTGGTCTGCTCACTGGATGGTGATGCCCCAGGGCAAACAGGGAAGCCAGATCTCAGAACCTGGGTCTCTGAGTGAATGCATGGAGCCAAGACCCCAAAGCCACCTTCACCTCCACCTAAGGTGAGACATAAGAAAAAAACTTCTAGAGGCAAGCCACTGAGACTTCAGGGTTTTCTGGTACAACAGATGGTATTACCTCAACTACAGGGTGGGGCTAAAGGTATACAGTTGTGAGTATGTGAAACACAGAGTTTATTCTTTGTATAACTATTTATTAATTACTAGAGGCCTAGTGCACAAATTCGTGCACAGGTGGGATCCCTCGGCCTGGCTGGTGATTGGGGCCGATTGGGGCCTTCTTGCCTAGTCCTGATCAGGGCTGATCGGGGGCCAGCCGGGGGTAGGGACCATGGGAGGTTGGTCGGCCACAGGTTGGCTGTGGGAGCGCACTGACCACCAGGGGGCAGCTCCTGCATTGAGCATCTGCTTCCTGGTGGTCAGTACATGTCATAGCAACTGGTCAACCAGTTGTTCGGCCGACCAATCGTAATGGTTGCATAGGCTTTTATATATATAGTCTTATTTCCCATAAAAAAGCAACTGTAAACCTACTTTTGCCCCACCCTGTAATACTGGCTCTTGATTGAAGTCACTTGAGGTGCAGGGCCCAGCTGAGACCCCCTCTCTCCCCAGTCATCTTATCTTCCCTGTGTGCTGCAGAAGGGGAGGGACAGCTGGAGGTTGGGGAGATGCTGGAGATCTGGGACCTGCCCATGCAGTTCTTCAGTTTCCAGAGCCTGGGTCCCCCGGGGCCAAGGGAGAAGGCCAGAGGACCTCAAACCACTGCCCCACAAAGCCTTGTGCCTGCACCTCATGCCATGAATTCTGCAAGGAAAGTGCTGCTGGGGCAGAGTCTTCACAGGCCACCATCCTCCCTGACCAGTCCTCAGGCTGAGATCAAGGTTCCTGACCAAGCCCTAGGTTCCGGGTCCCATCCCCTGCTCTGGGTCACCTGCAAGTCAGGAGTAAGGACCACAGGTGCCCACTCATGTCAGCCGGGGGCATTCTCTGCAGGGTTGGGAATCAGGCCAGCTGCCACCTGGTCCTGGTGCCACAGGTGCTCTGCCAGGCCATTGAGCACATGGGCAATGTCAGCCAGCCCAGCCCGCCCATCCAGCGTGCGCCCATCTGCCAGCCGCCGCCCTGGCACACTCTTCACCCGCAGGAGGGGCAGTTCCCAGGTCTGCCGGAAGGCTGTGAGGTCACGCTCAGGCACGTCCGTGTGCATGTACTGGTCAAACCTGGAGGAGGGTTAAGGAGCCTGGCCAGGTGACACTGCTAACCATCCCGTCACACCCAGCCTCTCCCTCCCCGCTGGAGCCCCACACCCAGGGTCTGAGGGAGAGCCTGCTGCAGCCTTTAAGATAGAGCCTATGGGGCTGGACCCACAGCTGGGCAGAGGTAGGCTGCATGTCCTGCCAGGTGTGGCCTCTGACAGTCCTAGGGGCCACCCAAAGGATACTTGGAGCCAACGACCATCCTGACGACACCAGGGGCCTCGCCTGCTATGCGGGTCAGCTGTCCAGGGAGGTCTTCGAAGGAGGCACGGTCGGTGAACGAGAAGAGGAAGAGGAAAGCATCCGCCTTCTCCTTGCAAGCCTGGGGATGGAGAGGCTCGCTCAAGGCCGCACCCCGGGACCAGAACCCCCCTGTCCGCTGCAGGGCCTGAGAGTCTCAGCACAACCCCTCCTTTCACAGACTGGGAAACTGAGGCCCGAGCAGTGAGTGGCTGGGATCCAGTCCCCAGCGCCAGTTCCGAGCTCTCCCAGCAGGGGCAGCACCCTCAGCCCATGCAAGCCCAATGCTGGCTCCTGAAAACCAAGCAGGCCGGGCTCAGAGGCCCACCCGGGACAACCAACCCGGCCGGGACCCACCCAGGCCCACCTGCCCGCTCACCGGCAGCATGTGGTCGAACTTTTTGAGCGCAGACTCCCCGCAGTCCCAGAACTCAAAGCGGAACATGACGACACGCTCGCTGACCTGCAGTTTGGCAGGCCAAAATACCACGGTGGTCTGGATGCCTGGGGAAGGAGAGGCAGAGGTGGAGAGAGGTAGGGGGGCCAGGAAGGAACTGGAAGAATACGTCCCTGCCCTCAAGGGTCCAAGTCTGATGGGGAAAGCACAGTCCCCAGCCCGGGAGAATTCTCAGTCTGAGGGAAGTCGACCTGCCCTGGAGGAGTCTCCCGTCTACCAGGCAGACAGAGCCCTTGACCCAGCAGCCATGACAATCAAGTTTCACTCATAGGTACAAGGGGACCCAAAGCTCCCAGGACTCCGGAGGATGTTGGAATGTGATGGTCAATCAGCATCCAATGGAAGGAAGCAAGAAAAGCTTAGTGTTTTCTGAGCACTTGCCTTGCGCCACCTCAATGCTAGGCATGTTACCACCACCATCTCGAGTACCAACCTCCCGACAACCCCGTGCGATGGATGCTATTATCCCTGTTGGACAGAGGAGCCAATGCAACTCAGAGAGGTGAGTGACTTTCCAAGGCTGCAGAGTAAATGGAGGGGCGGGTTCAAATCCCAGATTGTGTGCTCCAGGGACAGTCTTTTCTCCACCCCAGGATGGACTCACCAGTGGTCTCATGGTGTGCCAAGGGCACCTCCAGGCCAGCGAGCTTGGCCACCAGCGCCGTCTTGCCCACACCACTCTTCCCAGACACGAAGATCTTGTAGCTGGCCGTGTCAATGGCCACAGCTGGGGGCAGCACTGGTCGCTCGAGCAGCCCTGGGGCAAGAAGGGAGCCATGTGCGGTCAGGTGGTCCCACCCAGCGCCTTGCCCCATCAGACCCTGGGTGGGACAACTTCCTCTCTAAGGGTTTTTTCAGCGTCAACCACCCGTGGTTCTCTGTACTCATTACTGAGGCCTGGGACACAAGCAGCATTCCTGGGTCAGCTCTGCTGAGAACACTGCTCTGTGAGCTGGGCCAAGCCCACTCCAAACAGCAAATTATGTTTTTAAGTTTGACGTATGAGATGGTTTGTGTTGATATTATTATCACGTCCTAGATTTCTCACATGTAAAGGCAAGGGGTTTCATAATTCTTTCCTCAGTAGAGAAATATCAGCAAAAGCATTCTCAATTACTACAAATAAACTCCTTATAGTTAATATATCAAGATCTTCATAATTTTTAAACTTGACTTTAGAGAGTGGAAGGAAGAGAGAGAGAGGGGGAGAGAGAGAGAGAGAAACGTGGATGTGAGAGACATCGACCAGTTGCCTCCTGTGCACACCTTGACTGGGGATCAAACCCACAACCTGGGAATGTGCCCTGACCGGGAATTGAACCCACCATTTTCTGGTGTGTGGGATGACACTCCAACCAACTGAGCCACATCAGTCAGAGCTAGGCATGTTTTTAATTTAAAACTTGCAAAATAAAAGTCTAAAATGATGCTACATCGATAGGCACAGGACCTCAGAGTCCTCCGTTGCGGGATGCCCTCTCATTCTCTGGTTTGAAGCTTTCTGGGACTCTGTCTCCCCTGGTCAGAGCCGGACTCTCACAGCCCATGCCAGGCCCCTCTGCTGGCCTGTCAGCCCGGCCCCACCTGGAGAGTTGGCTTCATCCTGGGGAACAGGAGTGTCTTATCCGGGAGCGAGCAGGATATGAAAGAGGCTTGTGTCCCTCGCTAGTCTGAACACGTCTGTGAGATGTGCTGCGGAGAAGGTGAAACCAGAGTCTGCTGTGTCAAGTGCCCAGCAGAGGGCCTGGCATGGGGTGAGGGCTCAATCAACAGCCTCTCTGGTGACTGTAGTTTCTGGCAGGGTTTCGCCTGTTTCCATGATCCTGGCTCTGATGGTGGAATTAGCTCTAAGGCGAGTTCGGGGTGAGGGCCCCAGGGATAGACCAGAGGTCCCAAGGCTGAGGAATGCAGTGCCAAAGGCCCTCACTGCCCTGCTTCTCTGCGCCCCGCCCCCCATCCCCAGGTGACACTGTTCTCCCTAAGGAATGGCAAGTGACAGGCTGGGGGGGCGGGGGGGGGGAGGGGTTACTTACCAAACACCCGCCGGCGGTTCTTGCGCAGGATGCAGGTCAGGCACTCCTTGCCCTCGGCGCTTTCGTGCCAGTCGGGGACAATCACTGAGCCAGGGGCGGGTGGTCTGGCCATGGCTGGGCACCGGGACGGGGTGGGAGATGGCAGAACGCTGAGGGCAGGGGAAGGGAGAGGGTAACTGTCCCAAGCTGGACCTATGAGCCCCCCTGGCTCCGCGAGTCCTAGCTCCCTCCTCGGGTGGAGCAGAGTGGAGCCCACCGTTCTTATTACCCCGTTAGCATCTTTCCAGTCTACGCTCCCGTCACTGTCCTGGGGGGTTACCCATCCCCCTCTACCTCATCTTGCCCAGAAAGTGTAATTCCATAGTCCCTTCTACCCCGTCTTTCTCCCTGGGGGCAGCCATCCCAATATTGCCCCGAGGGCATTTACACAGCTCCTTCCTCCCTGGTCACCTCCTGGAGAGGTCACACCGCCCAGCTTCTCCTCTGCCTCCTCGATACCGACTTCCGGGGCTCCCAGCCCTCACCATCGGCAGCCCCTGCGCGCCCCTTTAAAAGTCCTTCCCACGCTCCTGCTCCCCCTCCAGCCGCCCAGTCCGCTCGGCCTGCTTCTGCGGGGCCGAAATCCTCTTGGCTTTGAGGAGCTTCACCAGGCCAGGTCCGGGTGCAAGAGGCGCATGTGCGGAGAGTGTTGCCATGACGACGCGGGGGGCGGAGTTGGGTTGCCTGCTTTGGGGCGGGGCTGGGGGGTTGGTGTCTCCTACGTCGGTGGCTACCCGCTCAGTGACATCTTCTGACCATCGGTCCTCTCCGTTGCTGAGTCGGAGCCCTCGTCTTTCCTCTGAAACGTAATCAAATCCCCCTTCTGCAGGAGGAGGGGGTCCACTGCCTCTCCGTGCCGGTTCCCTCTTCTATAGAGTGGAGGTGAAATACTATTTCCTCCTAGGATTCTTTACAACAGCGCCCTGTCCACAGCAGTGCTCGGTATTATTATTATCATCACTGTGTTAATCCTGCTCTTCAGGGCCCCGAGATGAGTTCAACACCGCTGCCTTCAAGGGGGAGGGGGGAAGGGGGGAGAAAGCAACTCAGGGAGATCAAAGGACTTGCTCAAGATCTTAAAAATGAGCTCTTCCCCAATTTGCAAGATGGAGGGTGAAAAGAAAACCGAGAAGCCGGATGCCAAGGAGAAGACGCCAGATACTAAGGAAAAGAAACCTGACTCTAAGGAGAAGAAACCGGCAGCCAAGAAGAAGGCCGATGCCGGCGGCAAGGTTAAGGCCCCGAACAAGGGGAAGCCCCACTGCAGCCGAAACCCCGTCCTCGTCAGAGGAGTTGGCAGATACTCCCGGTTGGCTATGTATTCGCGAAAGGCATGTACAAGAGGAAGTATTCGGCCCCTAAGTCCAGGATTGAAAAGAAAAAGGAGAAAGTTCCTGCTACTGTCACAAAACCAGTTGGTGGCGACAAGAATGGTGGTACCCGAGTGGTTAAACTCCGCAAAATGCCTAGATATTATCCCATTTTAAATGAG